AGAGAGAGACAGACAAACAGAGAAAGAGAGAGAGAGAAAAAGAGAAAGAGAGAGAGAGAGAGAGAGAGACAGACAAACAGAGAAAGAGAGAGAGAGAAAAAGAGAAAGAGAGAGAGAGAGAGAGAGAGACAGACAAACAGAGAAAGAGAGAGAGAGAAAGAGAAAGAGAAAGAGAGAGAGAGAGAGAGAGGAGGGCGAGTGGCTACGGTGTAAATATTGGCAAGTGCCTCGGCTCTTTTCTGAAGGTCAGCAAACCCTGAAAGCGGTAGTGAACGAACGACTCGTGCAGTCGCCCGAGGCAGCACTCTCGTGTTTAAATGCCTTAAAACACGAAGGCGGGTCAAATCTTAGCCGCGAACTACCCACCGATCACACTCACCAGGGGCTGCGGGCACATAAGGTAGAACATTTCTTTCCTATGAGTTTTTTTCAGGAGCTCTCCTACACTTAAGCGGTATCGGAATATTTTTTATCACCGCGGGATTTTTTTGCCCCATACAATACTTGTTTGCAATCGGTTAAATCTACGGATAGCAAACAAACCCTTGCAGTTGCACTAAGCAATTTTAATTGAGAGCCAGATAAGCTCAGTGCACAAGATATAGCACACATGGACGTGTTCAATTTCAATGATTCTCAAGGGCGATACATAAATATAGTCAGGGGTAAACACTGACAAATATCATTATTCAAATGACATTTGTCATTATTCAATATAGCCTATATTCCAGCTCCTTCCCCTCCAGTTCCTCCCTCCTTCCACCGTTCAGTTTCCAGGACGTTCCATGCCTCTAGGAAATATCCTTTTACAATTCCAGGGCTTTCCAGTTTCGCATTACGAACCCCGCTCGAGATCTCAATCATCAAACAGCAGTGTGTATAGATCAAGCGTACGAGGCCGACATAGCGAGCTGTGTGTCGGTGCTAATGGAATTGCCTAGCCGTGGACGTCGCCGTTACGTGACATAGGTCAGAGCACACCGCAACCCACGACGAACAACAGGCAGAGAGCGCTCGCTCGAAATGCCACGTCCACTCCACGTCCACGTTGTCAAACACATCAAAGTGCAGGCCGCAGGAAAAGGTCGATTAAGGCGATGAATATCCGCGAAATCAAAGAGCGGTTGATACATTACGCGCGTACTAGTATTTGCACACGTGTAGACGCACTATAATTTACAATCTGATGTCTACAAACTGGCTGCTATACACACGCGCGCACATATATACAAGAAGATATCCACCACTGACCTAGATTTTCGATTGATCCTTACCTCTTACCTAAATGTTCAATACGTTAGATATCCGAGAGAAGATCATAAGTCAATATCAAAAACAAAATCAAGATCAAAGTCAAAAGCAGCAACAGCAACAACACTAACAACCACAACAACAACAATACAAACTACAACAACTATGGTGTATAACTATACCATCTATTAGAAATCATTTACCCAGATCTCAAGAACAGCGCTGGCAGCTAATTTTCCAGCACCAACACTCATTTACCTAACAGTGGAACGTGAGTGAGTAAAGCTGACTTTGGCAAGATAGCGCGATTTCACGTGATAAAACGTGTTCTCAAACTGTGCCAACATCGCATTAGTCTGATATTAAAGTGAACAGCAGTGCACAAGGAAAACATCGATAGAACAGAATCGGCCAGGTGGAAAAATGCCGATAAGTTAGAATCATCAACATTTTTTAACCAAGCTATGAAAGGCTGATCCAATTATTTCTGCACTTGCTTCCGCCATATTAATAAGGTCACTACAGGTCACTTTTGTCAGAATTAAGCCAGGTTTACACTATCAACTTTTTGCACTATTTACAGAGCAATTGTTGCGAAAAGAACGCAGAGCTGTGTTATTACCTCCGCCCAACGGAGTTGGAGGAGGTTATGTGATCGCTCTTGTGTGTTCGCGCGATCGATATTAGCGCGTCGAGTCAGCGAGCCAGCCAGCCAGCGCAGCGAGCCAGCTCGTAACACATACATGTTACATGCTAGCGGAGGTATGCGCTCTCCGTGAGTGCCCTCTGTCTAGTTTGCCATATATTTTACATACCGTAACAGCATGAATCCTGCGTAATTTTAAAGTTGATGTGATATGTATAATACCAAGAGATAATACCAAGAGCGTATAAAGAAGACCTTCTTCATACACTCTTGATAATACGGATAAGACGTATACTACATTTCTCTACACGTATTCAGATTTTAGATGCATTTGAGAGGCGATTTCTTTAATAGGTCACTACAGGCCAGTGCATATATACACAGCTCACAGTTACACATTGTCAATCGGATCTCTGCGCTGATCAGTGTTCATTATCTGGGTCTCGCTGGTTCAGATTGCAGTAAAAAGACATATACAGGGTTCTCCAAGCTTTTTCATTATAGCATGGCAGGTGCTGCCTTTACGGTCCTAGTTGCAAATCGCCGAAGGCGGTTTGCGTGCTAGGGGGGTCCGGGGGCTATGATATTTAGCATGGCGGCTATGATATTTAGAGTGGCAGGTGCATTTTAGGATGGCGGGGCCCGACGATAGCCTGGCGGGCCGCCAGGCTATAAGTGCTCTTGGAGAACCCTGATATATATAATGATATATTATCAGATGATTCGCATCGGCCCCCCAAGGCAATCGTTAGGGCAGTTATTGCTGTGTCCTCTGTGTTAATAACTTATGACGGTAAACAGATGCGTACTCTTTGGATAGGAAGCAGTGAAAAACCGAAATACACCAAGCACGTTTAAACGAAACAATGTAATTATGAAATTGTTACACTGAAGCAAGTTCTATTCTATTCTATTCTCATTCTTCATTTCTCATTCTTCTATCATTGGGTGAGGTCCCTGTTCTAGAGTCGACGTTCTCACCCATTTCAGCTCTTGGCCATAATTACACATAATTGACCTCTTTGCTGACACGATGGATTTATGACCTCATTTGTTCATCTGTGTCCCTCCCTTGTTACTAAAGACATTTGCTAAAATCTGCCAAAACTAACCAACTGAACAAATCGAAATCATGCCAAAAAACCAAGGACGAAATGTTTTGTTAGGTGGCCTGTGCAAATAACACTGCATGCACTCTGATGCAGTGACACACTGACACCCTGAAAGTGTGACGTCTTGACTCTGTGACACTCTGACGGTGTTGACATCCTGACTCAGTGTCACCCTGTAGCATGACATGTTGGTATAAATGTCACACCCTGACTCTGTGACATCTTGACACTATAATGATGTAACACTGACTCCGTCACGTGACATCCTAGCACTCTGACGGTATGACAATCAGACTATGTGACATCTGTCGGTGTGACACTTCCGAGTCTGTGACACAGTGAAACTATGACTCTGACGGTGTGGCACGCTGACTCAATGACACCATTCTCTTGACATCTATCATAAGCTGTAAGATTTCTCTGTGTATGACAAAGTCTTACACTGTATATGTCGTTATGAACGAATCGATGCATATTTGCCGGTGGATCAAAACCCTATAACTTGACCACCATTACAGGCCCTAGTCTAGAAGACATGTCCCACAATCTATATATATAAAGTTGTTCAGCCGAATTAGTTCGTACTCGCATAACTAGAGAACTCCACAGCCTAGAGGAAAACTAAAGACATTTTCAGAATCAGCACGTCTGGGAGGGAGGTGGTTCTGGCTGAAACAAAAATTTAAAAAAGTTAAAAAGTTAAAAATGCATAAAAATTCTATTCATCAATAGATGGCGGTGCGTACAGATTAACATCACGTCCGTGTGAATCCATGGTATACTCTTAACGGCCCAGCGGCGCTAATCGGCATTAGAACATCCGTCTCCTCACGAATTCGCGGTTTTGAGTCCAAGCTGGGAAACTTATTACAGCCGGGGGGGGGGGGGGGGATTACGCCCATGTGCGTTCTCACTACAAATAATAGGCCCCTAATGTGCGAACTGGACATTGGAAAACCCTACGCGCACTATTGCATACACAATGGAAAATTATCCGCACCGCCTATTTGCAGTACAACAATAGAAAATATCCCTACCCCTTTTGCGAGGTCTTGCTCACTTGCTCCTCGTGATGACTGAATGATTGTTGTAGCGGGTTTTAAGTTTCGTGTGCTAGCGGGGCCGCGAGCGCGTTCGGGGCCTTGGGCGGGGTAGCTATGTGGTTGCGTGCATAAGGGACCCGTGAAGGGGGGCCTAGTCTGCGGGCGCGGTGCTTGACTTGAACGATGCCCGAGGGCTTTCTTGCGGGATATAGCTTTGTAAAGGGGGAGCCTATTTGCTTCCCCTCAACGGGCCCCGCTTTAGAGTTAAAAACGCGGCCCGGGACTTATTTTTCGCCGCTTTTTCCTTTTTTTCGCCCTTTTACCAGGACCTTTAGGGTTTTTTTTTATTCTTGTTTGCTTTACCTCTTTAGTATGTATTATTTTTAATTTTTTTATATTTAATGTCTTTTATCTTTTGATTTCTTATTATTTTTTACTGTTTGGGATGGGAAGGGATGGGACAGCATGCGATGGCATGGGATGGGATGGGATGGGTTGCAGTGCGATGGGATAGCATGGCGTGGCATGGCATGGGATGGCATGAGATGGGATGGGATGGGATATATATGGGATGGGATGCGGTGCGATGCGATGGCATGGATTGATGCATGGATAGATACAGATAGTTAGATTTTTTTGGGCATTTTCCTTTCAACCAAGCGGTCACCAACTGATCGAGTAACGCCAATGGCAATGATTTCCCCGGGCAACGCCGGGTATCCCGCTAGTACAATATACAGTAGCAATGGGCCATGTCTTCTACTAGACTAGCTCCCATCCGAATTGAACACTGTACTGTACTCTGTAGTCTGCATTGTTCGTACGCATGATTAAAGCAAGTTATTCCTTATTTGCATATCATTTTATTACGTAATATGATACTCGTGATTATGATCCAGTCGGCACTTAATCGGTACGATTACTGGACCGATTAGTTAGATTACTCACCTGTAACCGTGAGTTACGAGTTCTGTCTTGTCTCTTCCTGGTCTTTTTCTCGTTGTCGTCGACATAGTCGAAACTGGGCGGCTGTACGGAAGACTTGAACCCGAACGCGAAAACGAGTAACGCACAGATGATGACACCAAAGACCGGCAGAGCAAACTGCGGGTTAACGACCTCGCCGAGTTCAATTGTCATCGCAAAATTCTATTGGAAAATGGATTTCTACAAACAGCTGTTTTCCCTTTTCTTCCACGGCATCTAGTGGAACGCAGCGACGACGGATTCGCGAACTCGTTGATGCTACGAACTTATTATATTATATTTAGTAATTTTACACAGTCAGTATAATATGTATTTATAGAATTTAGTACTCTTATTTAATCAGTGATTATTAGACTGATGTCTGCTGTTTCACTTTTATTTATTTTTAATTATTTTTACCTGCACTGGTCCGCAGAAAAACCACGGCGCTGCGATCCGTTATCAAATTTGTTGACAGGCGGGAATCTGTGATTATCTTACGAACGGAAATAGCCTACGCATTCCCATGTTACGCACACTTGTATAAAGAAACATAAACATAGTTGAGAAAACATTTATGAGTTAAATCTACATAATCAAATATAAACGGTAGGCCCCATAGAATACTAGGCCCAGGATAAGCAGATAAAAAAGTACGGGTATCCAAATTTTCCTACCTCCCCCTACACTCGCATTTCGTAATGCAGACCACTTTAGTGGACTGCCCGACTCGACACCAGTCTTGATCAAGAGTAAATGGCAGGATTTCTGTTTATTCTTTATATTCCTATACCTGATAACGAGTCAGAGATATACAGCAGCTTTGCTGCAGGCTTAGATGACACCATATCAAAGAAACCACAGCCGCGCTTACGTAAAAGGAAATCCAGTATCAGCTCAACTTTCAGAAGTAGTAACAGTATCTCTAGCAATGCATCTGCAGGTGAGAAATGTTCCAGTGCTAATAGAACAGTAAGGTAATCGTCAAACGTAACGCCAGCCATGAGAATATCTGCTAAGGAACTATGCACACTACCAGAACAGAAACAGTTGAGAACTAATCTTGTATACTTACATTAATATAGTGATAAACAGATGACATGGGATAACATCAAGTGTCTCTTGTAGGAAAACAAGAAGCTAATCGACGACCGGAGCGCTCACGCACCAGGCGCCCGTCCGGAAAGAAGGACGTGACACATCACCAGGGGGAGCTTACTTCCACGAACCCTGACGAGCCAGCCACACCGGCGCCATCTGTGATATGCACCGACGCAGTCGATGCACCGCCGATCGTCACGCCAGGGGGAGCCCGCGGCGACGACTCGCCTGCGAGAAAACACAGCCAGGTGGCGCTGGCGAAGAGCGCTGAGGACGCCAGCGACTCCGCGGTGTCCGCGGGCACGCTCGACCGCGATTCGAAGAACGGCGCCTCCGGGTACGATTCTGACTCGGAATCTGGAAGCGCCGCCAACGACGACGTCTACCTACTGTCGACGGATGCGGAGAATAGAGAGGACGTCGCCGCCGGCGACGCCGCAGATGCAGCGGCGGCCGCTCCCTCGTCGCCTGGGTCGCCCAAGCTCGTGGACTTCTTGGAAAATGTTCCGCTAGCGCATGTAAGCTGCCTTGTATCGCGAGTGTTTCTTTGCCGTACGATCGACCTTGATCGATTGATCACTTGATTGATTGGTCTGTCGACGTCGCTGTATGTTGTTTTAAAAACGATGCTTAGCGAGAAAGTGCCGCAGAGTTTAACCGGCCCAGCAACGATATCCGAGGAGGGTGTGGTTATTTATCTCGGTACAATAGATCAGTTCATAAAACTTTACACAACTACAGCGGTTAATTGTATCATATTTGACAGTGCGAGTTCGGGCAGTTGTAATTCTTGTCTTTTTCTAATCTAGAATCGATGGCAGATACTTCTAGTGCACACTGTGATGTAGTCCTAGTGTGATCTTTCTTGCAGGTGTTAAAGCAGGCAATGGGTGCTTTCAAAATAACCAATGACACCTGGATGAAGGTCAGATGTGGGAAAATTTACCAGGTAAACAAAACGTCGAGTGTTTGCGATGCTGTTTCGTGCAATCATCTATGGCTGTACATGTTCTGTTGCGATCATCGCTCATTTGTTAGCTCTAGGAGTTTCCACCCTTGCCATTCCAGGTGACGTTTGCTGTAAAGACGGTTGAACACTGTGAAGAGCTACTCAACAAACTCACCGGGTTGGGCGTGGGGAGGACGGACGACTCGTCGATGTGGTGAGTACGACCTACGACCTACGCACGTGGCTCAAAGAGGAAATGCGGTAAAAATCCACAAATTTCGTGCCTCGAATTCGGATCGTTGTTTTTAACAACTTTTTGTGGTAAAAGAAGACGACGGCGTTTAACAGTAAAAAGCATTTATCAGTGTGCGCGTGTGCGTTTGCCTGCCGGTAATACGGCACAACAGCGACTGATATCAGAGCGTTAATTGGAATGTGTGTGCACTTCCATTGCAGCGTCATACCGCTGGGAGTCAGCTACGGCCTGAGCGAGGTCACGAGCGCGACGGAGGAAGAGGAGAGCCAGCCGAACCAGCAGAACTTTGCCGCCGAAAAACCGTGAGCCTTAGAAATAAATCCATGGAATTTCGCGCAGTGAGTCGTACGAATCGCGTCGCGAGAGAAGCGTCGTTGAGATTCGGTTGGCATCAGTAATCGCTCTATTTATTATAGCTTTCTGACTGATCACCATGCAGTCGAGACTTTGTCATCCGTCTCTCGTCTGCGGCAGGGTAAAAAATACACGGGAGCGATGAGCGATTCACTCTTCAAACCTCCGAAATCGCTCCCGTGAGGCTCAAAATAGCTCCCGTAAAATTTTAAAAGAGAGCTATTTTTTCCACAGACTTGAAAAAGAGCTCTCGTGAAAAAAAAAGTAATTTTTTCCCTGGTCTGCGCCATTTAGTACATGGGTTGTTGAAGTTCGTGCGGCAACCGATGACCTTGCGTGACCTTACGTTGGGTGGTGTTCGGCTTTCTGTTGCAGGGACGACAGCGAGAATATCTCGCGGACGAAGCTGTTCATGAAATCGATCAAGTCCCGGTTGACGGTCGCTCAGGTAACGTGAAACCTCCCGCGTGCTCTCTGCATCATGCATTCTTAACCACCTGAATTCTCGAGACTCGCTCGTGCAAACGCGCGCTTGTGTCTCGTTGATCATCCTCGCGCTCGCCATGCCTTAACGCCCTCAGAGGGCGTCGCCGCGACGACGTATCCCGAGCGAGAGATTGATTTAACGTCGGGGTGTTTCGTCGGTGATTTTCAGGTTGTCGAGAGCGTGAAGGCGCAGACCGTCATGTCGTTCGACTTCATCATGCTGACCGTCCTCGCCAGGTAGCACCACGCGCCGCGTCATGCTGATCGGCGTCTGACGAACGTTACCTTCCGTTCCGTTACATGTCTCGTGATAAAAAAAGACGGAATGACGCATTCCATCGCTGTAACAATTACAGATATGTTTTAATCGAAATTGAGAAATGTTTTTGCGTAAGAATTAATTCCTAAGCATGTCAGTTGTGCATGTGCGAATCCGTTAATACCCCGGAAGATACGCTGCCATACCAAATGTATCACGGACAAAAAATTTTGCATAGGAATCGGTCCCTGTTACGGTAACACACGTGTATGTGGCACACCAAGTCCAGCGCACGAGTACGAAACTATGAACCCAACGTCAAGTGCTGTGAATCGGGAGCTCTGTTGTAATGCTGCGCGGATCCGCGGTTCCGACTGCATGTGGTGCGCCGTCTGACGTCTGCTGTGTTTGTTTCTCTGCAGCATTATCGCAGCGATGGGACTGTGTGAGGACAGCTCGGTCGTGCTCGTTGCAAGCATGTTAATCTCACCACTCATGGTAATTTACCGGTGATTCATCATTTCCTAATCATAATAATAATAACAACAACTACAATAATAATAATAATAATAATAATGATGATGATGTCAATGAAGATAATAATAATGATAATATATTCCGATGTAAATAGTACGTGTGTATAGTGTAATACGTGTACGTGCATATGTACACAGTACATGCGTAGTGTAATGTGTGTACTCCCTCCCCTTCCTCGCGTCCCTCCCCCCCCTCGCATCCCTCCCCCCTCCTTGCGTCCCTCCCCCCTCCACACATCTCTCCCCCTCCACGCGTCCCTCCTTCTCCTCACAGCTGATGACTGCATGTGGTTCTCTCTCCTCTGCGGCAGGGACCGATCCTCGGCGGCACGTTTGGCACCGTCATCAAGGACACAAAGCTGCGCAATGCCAGCATCATCACCGAGCTCGTCGGCATCGCCATCTGCATCATCACCGGTGAGCTGTCACCCCGGCAACCTCGCTCCCGGTCGTGGCAGTCGCCTTACTGGCCACGGCAATGGCTTTCGGGTCGCAGCAACGACTTTCGCGACATGGCAACTGCTTTCTGGTCGTGGCAACTGCTTTCTGGCAATGGCAACTGCTTTCTGGTCATGGCAACTGCCTCCAAGTCATGGCAACCATCTTCTGTTTATGGCAACTGCCTCCAAGTCATGGCAACTAAGTTCTGTTTGTGGTATCTGCCTCCCAGCCACAAGGTAGATCTACCAAATGGCTAGTGGTGGAGGCAGAGGACAGAGCAGAGGCACGGAATGGAGGCAGAGGGCATATGGTTCAGGGGTTGTGAGGTGTTATGTACGCCTCTATCTTTTTAATTACAATACCTTAATTACATTAGCTATTAAAAACTGTTAAGTCTGGTGGATTTTGGAAATGCATGGGTTACTTTATGTACATTCCTTTCTTTTTAATAAATAATTTGAGTATGACTGCGACTTATTCATCTTTGCAGGTTTTATTTTTGCACTCATGGTCAGTGGACTCAGTGACAGCTGGGGTTCGGGGTACTGGCCAACATATGAAATGAAAAGCAGGTATCTAAATTGATATACATAGATGTTTGCATGTTTAGCATTGCAATAATATTTGTATTACCATGCAGTATATATATATATATATATATATATATATATAAATTTCTATACAGTATTAATTTTTTTATTTCGGTGATCAAATAGAATACATAAATTTACTCAAAATAAGTACATAATAATTTACATAAAATTTATACAGAAAGAAGCAATGTGACAAGGTATTCCAGCTTGTAGGATTGTAATTGAATTTTCATATTTGTGTGGAAATTATTTTCTATAGAGGCATGCTGAGGAGTTGGTATGTCGGACTGATGATTGCCCTGCCCTCTGGTGCCGGGGTTGCACTGTCTGTTCTCGGAGGCAACACGGGGTCGCTGGTGGGCGTGGCCATCTCCGCATCACTGCTGCCACCTGCTGTCAACTGTGTAGGTTTCAACCCATCGTCTTCTATTAAAATTCAAATGTAAAAGTCTGTCGTGCACAAAGTTTCAAGATCTCGTTCCCTCGCAATGTGAATCGATCTCCTAGCTCATGTGTCGTTCCAGTATATGCACTCCTTTTGTAAAAAAAAAGAGACCTAGGCCAGCACTGTGGAGCCTGATTCGACCGGGGCTAGCTTCTAGGGCTTTTGTGAACGTCCTTGACTCCATTTTGGCAACGAATGGCTAGTATCCACTCCCAGTAGATTCTAGGGCTTTTGTGAACGTCCTTGACTCCATATTAGCAACAAATGGCTGGTATCCACTCCCAGTAGATTGGGTAGGTTCCTCTAGCTGTTGTTATATGTCTTGTACGACAATGACGCGCACGTCCTCTTCTCCCCAGAGCTTCCTTCTAGTTTCCAGTCTTGGCAGTCTGGTTAGGTTCCTCTAGCTGTTGTTATATGTCTTGTACGACAATGACGCGCACGTCCTCTTCTCCCCAGGGCTTCCTTCTAGGTTCCAGTCTTGGTAGTCTGGTTAGGTTCCTCTAGCTTTCGTTATATGTCTTGTACGACACGTCGTCGATGACACGCACACTCGTTGCTCCCTAGGGCTTCCTCTGGGGATTCGCCGTCGTGAAGAAGCTGACGTCGCTGACCTACCCGTGCGCGAACATCATCGCGCCGCCAGAGGGCAGCAGCTGTCGTCAGCCGGAGTACGCGGCGGAGTACAGCGACTCGCTGGCGGCGGAGGCGCTCATGCTCGGCGCTGTCAGCCTCGTTCTCACGCTCCTCAACATCATCTGCATCTTCGTGATGGGCGTCGTCGTGCTGAAGGTTGGTGAGCATGTAAACAAGTATATAAGTAAATAATGCCAAAGGTTGCTGAGCGCGTAAACAAGTAAGTAAATAAATAATGCTGAAGGTTAGTGAGCGTATAAACAACTAATTAAATAAATAATGCTGAAGATTGGTGAGGGCGTAAATGAGTAAATAAATAAATAATGCTGAAGGTTGGTGATTGCGTAAACAAGTAAATAAATAAATAATGCTGAAGGTTGGTGAACGTGTGAATAAGTAAATAAATTAATAATGCATTCCTTTAATTCGTCTAGATAAAGGAGGTCGCTCCTTACACAAGTCAAGCAACCACTAGGAATTTCTGGAAACAAGATATCAAAGTATGGACTCTAATTGTGAACCATGGTTTTTAAACACTGACAAGCAGGTTGGCCTGCACATGTATCATGGTATCTAGCGAATCACATATTTTTAGTGCAAAACTTGTACTAAGAGATATACAATATTACTTTTGTTATCTTCTTGATCTGTTCTCAACTTTATGTGAACTGACATTATGGTGAAATTATTTCCCAGGTGTCATCACGGTACGAAGTTATATTCATCAAATTTGATTGATATTTTTCTTAGATTGCAAGAGACTACAATCAAACGGTAAAGGGAGAAGACTCGATTGGGATGGGTAAACAACTGTTGGAAGAATTAAAGGTAATGGGCACTGGTTATATCAAGTGTGTGGCAAGTGTGCTTAGATCATTGATTATATGTTGCGTACGTTTACCAGTTTTATTTTGGTGTACGTGTCTCTTTTAAAAGTTTCCTGATCAGTATTAACAATGTCATCGATTCGTGAATTAATATGTAGTGTGGCGTGAAATAATGTGGTAGCGATAGAAGTTGCATTGAAGAAAATTGCATTCATGCGCAAACTAACGTTCTTACCGAATAAATATTGGTTACTTATTGGTAATATTTGTTACAGTCGCAGGCAGTGACTTCTGAGAACACGAGACTCCTCGATCAGATGCTGCAGGTATGTCACGCCCACGTTACCGCCAGCTTTAGAATATGCTACTCAATCCCCTAGTCACTATTCCTTCTTCCTTCTACGCCACGATGGTGGCTACGGCAGCAGCAATCGCTCTCAGACTTTCTTCTGTTTTGAGCTCACCTTAACATCGTCAAGATGAGCTATTGCCATGGGGTGTCGTCCGTCGTACGTCCGTCCGTCCGTCTATCAACATTTGGCTATGGTCAACGATAACTCAGGAACCGTTTGACCCACATGTTTCAAATTGCATACAGTTTTTACTCCTATGGGAGAGGTTTGAACGTCCTATTTTGGAGCACGCTAGTTGACATACTTTCAAGCAATGTCCACTTTTTTGCAAAAATGTTCAGGTTCAACGGATTTTGCTCAATTCTGGTATGTGAATGAATAAGGACTGGCCCCAAAACATATCACATGGGTTTTTATATTTTTTTAAATTTTGCAAATTAGGTCGATTTTGGCAATTTCATTATGCATTTCAGTGTCTGCCTACGGTCAACGCCATCAGATTGTATGCCAACAGATCTGAAACATTTATTATCGCATCAAAAATTACGCACATATCATCATTATCAAGAGTATATAATGGGAGATATGCTATATAATGGGAGTTCTCCCATATATACTCTTGCTTTATATATCCCCCCTCCCTCTTCTATCACACCCAAGGTGAGCTACAGTGTCATTGACACTTTCATTTTAGCATGCGTGTTTAACAGGTGGAGTTGCCAGCCCCATGCCATACCTCCTCCATCATCTAGCCTTGGTGCTGGCGTTTCCACAGTTATCGGTTACTATGTCAACGTAATAAAAAATTATGTCACTTATTTAAAAAGGGCCTACTTTGAGATAAGGAAATGAGAAAGATTTACTCATTAGTGTGTAGTGAAATCATACGACTGTGGGCCAGAAACTAACTGCCAGACCGGACTGCCACTGCCACTGCCACTGCCACTGCCACTACTGATTTTGATCTACAATTTAAATTAACGATGACTTGCCTCATTTGCCTCACAGGAATTAGAAGAGGATGACGTGTACAGAACTGCATTGTTTACTTGCAACGGCGTACCTCAGCGGGTGAGTTACCGCGTGTCGTGAATTTACACATAGTTCCATTATTGTAAATAATTTTCTCTTTTTGATCTCATTAATGCAAAAATTAACGGATGAATGTTCACTTTCTCCTCGAAAAACAAAAGATGAGAAAAATGGGGGGAAAAGAAGAAAGAGAAAATGAACGATGCGCTCTTTGGTTTCAGTCGATCGCCTACAGGGAGCGATTTCTGACGTCGCGGCCGCTCTCGCTCGACTCCTCCGTGTGCGAGACGGCCGCCTACGGTCCCGCGCGCGCCGACCGAAACGCGCCGCTCCAACACCAGATGTCGCTACCGCACGGCTTCCTGCGGACGCAGAATGTGTACATGCGCGGCCCCGCGACGCGGTCCCCCTGCCGGGCGGGCAGCGTCCGCGAGGGGGCGCCGGCGTTGCGGCTGCCGCGCTCCGACTCCGCGCACAGCGTCAGCATCGCTCGCTTCACCGTCACGAAGCTCGGCGACGGCGACCACCAGGGGGCGCCGTACGACGAGCGGGACGGCTGCCGGGCGGACGTGCCTCTGCTGGAGGCGCGCGGCGGAGACCGGACGGTTGTGCAGTTCTACGCCGACGAGAGGGCGGCACTGAGCGAGAGCAACGTCTGAACGCGCGGGGGTGGGGTGGGGGGTCGGAACGCGGAGGACACGGAACTGCAAGGGAATGCCGTGGGACTGTGAGGAACACCGTGAGACTGTGAGGAACACCGTGAGACTGTGAGGATCACCGTGGGACTGTGAGGAACACTGTGAGACTGTGAGGAACACTGTGAGACTGTGAGGAAATTTCGATATGAGATAAAAACCAAACATAATAGCCTAGTTAGCCTTTATTCTGTCAACATATTAATCTGTTGACAGAATAAAGGCTAACTATTAGTTATACTATAATTAGCATATCCATCAGCCATGTACTTGCGCATACACTGCATGTACGTGTACTTGTCCGTATTTCAATCTCAGGTGGAAGTTATGATACCTACAGACTCCTCAGTGAAACATTAGTTTGCAAAGTGATTCCACTGCCTCCCCAGAAAACACGTCAGGTTAGTGCCACAGTATAGAAATAACATGTGACATGAAGGATAAATATTTTATTAAATTCGATTAAACTCGTAAATCGCCCAACCCTTGAGTTACACATTAGCAGACCAAGTAAGCAACACGGTGGCAATGTTTGGAGGTGGCCGACTTACGAGGTGTTGTAGGGATGCATTTGTCATCTCATCGTGGTCAAGGTACAAAATCTTTGCTTAATAATGTCTGCTACTTTTATCAGCTAGAGTGTTCCGACGCATCGGGTGCGTGCAAGTTTTAGGTAGAGAAGAGAATAGTTATGTAGAACTGTAACCCACGTGTTCATGTGTGTGGATCAGCAGGAGCATTCCGTGGAGGTGGAGGAACGGTCCACTATGGAGCATCATCATCAGGCAGACCTAGAGGCTGACATCAGCAGGTTTAGGTAGGCAGGAAACATGTCTCTATTGCTGTCAGCAAGGAGCTAAGTAGAGGTGCAATTGAAAAGCTGGTGTTTGAGATAGCCCAGACAAGGGATTTAGGAACGCCAAAGTGTGCGCCGAGCAAGCCATGAGGCGTATTGATTTAGGTGATGCGGCTTGGGCTGAAGGAGTGATGATGGCATGTTGGACGCTTAGCTGTGTCGATGTTGGATACTGCAGAGCCAACTACAAGGAATTGTGGCAATAATCTGAAACGGTATTCTAACCTAGCAATACCGTTTCCTGGAGCTAGAGTGCAATACAACTTCAAGTTTGTTGGCGGACTAAACAACTTTCAAGCCCGAAATAAAAAGAAAATGCAAGTCATCAATGTTTACTGTAACAAACTATCAACTTGTCGTATATCGACTGTAAATTTACCGAAGTAATTCTGCAAATCAAGCGATTCTCTTTCAGTATTTTGTTCTTCGTACGGCTTCTTGATGATATCACATGGAAGCCGCCGGCGACGCCGCAACGCTTCCAAATTACTTTAATAGGTGGCGACACGATAGCCAAGAAGTGCGTCCAATCCACTGATCTCTATAGACCCCT